CATGACCAAAAGGAACTTGGGGAGAAAAGGGCTTATTTCTGCTTACAGCTTGTATTAGTTACTTTTCTGTTGCTGTGGTAAAATACCACAAGATCATGATGGGGAACAAGAGACAGCTGACCCGAGCTAGTGGGAGCTCATGAGCTCTGGACTGACAGCTGAGAAGCCGGTATGGGACTGAACTAGGCCCTCTGAACGTGGGTGACAAAGTCTGTTTGTGGGTCCCCTGGCAGTGGGATCAGGATTTATCCCTGGTGCATGAACTGGCTTTTTGGAGCCCATTCCCTATGGCGGGATACATTGCTCAGCTCTGATGCAGGAGGGAATGGCTTGGTTGTGCCTCAATTTGATATGCCAGGCTTTGTTGACTCCCCACAGGAGGCCTTACCCTCTTTGAGGGGATGGTTTGGTGGGGAGGTGCGAGGGAGCGGGAGGAGGGAAGGGAGAACTGTACTTGGCATGTAAAGTGAAAAAAAAAAATTAAAAAGGAGACTTCCAAATCAACTCCTGCTGTACATCTTTCTTAATATTAATTCTATATTCCAAACTGTTTCCTAAATATTTTCTCTTTTCTCCTTGTAAATAAAAACCACAATGTACAAATAAATTAATTATGCCCCCCCCCCAAAAAAAACCCACAACCAAGGCAACTTATAGAAAAAAGGGTGTATTTGGGGCTTGAAGTTCCAGAGGGTTAGAGTGGATGACCACCATGGTGGGAAGCATGGCTGCAGACAAGCATGAAGCATCTGATAGCTCATATCCTGATCCATAAGCAGGAAACAGAGAGTGCATGGCAGAGGCCTGGAAACCTTAAGCCCACCCCCAGTGACACATCTCCTTTAACAAGGCCACCCTTCCTAATGTCAAATAGCTACCAACTGGGAACCTAGTATTCAAATGCCTGAGACTTATGGGGGACATCTCATTCAAACCACCACACAGTTGTAGTCTTGAAGAGAAATTGGGGTAGGAACTCAGAGCAGCAACCTGGAGGCAGAAACTGATGCAGAGACCATGGAGCATGTTGCTTACTGGCTTGCTCCTCAGGGCTTACTCAGGCCACTTTCTTATACCACCTAAGATTTCCTGCCCAAGGGTAGTACCACCCACATGGTCTGGGTCCTCCCATGTCAACCATTAATCCAGAAAATGCTCTACAGACTTGCCTACAAGCCAGTCTGATGGAAGCATTTTCTCAATTGAAGTCCCCTCTTCTCAGTATGACCTTGGTTTGCGTCAAGTTGGACAAAAACTAACCAGCATGCCATGTAAAGCCAGATGGTAGCAAGCATCTGTAATTGCAGAGGTCCTGTGCAAGGATGGGTGGTGGAGACAGGAGAACCCCGGAAGCTTATGGGCCAGCTAGCCTGGCATATGCAGCAACAGACAATAGACCTAGTCTAAAGATGAAAATGAAAAGGCTAGTGCTGACACTTGAGATTGTCCTCTGCCCTACACACACACACACACACACACACACACACACACACACACACACACACACACGGTGGTGGCAGGGAGGAGACTGACTCTCGGAAGACTGGTGGAGACAGCTTTTAGATATTGCTTATTTTTAAGGTTGAAGTAAATGTGTAAGGAAGACATCTAGAAAACATGACTACTTACCTAAATTGTGTATAATCAGTATATGTACATGTATATATATATATATCTCGTTGATGACATCATCCTTATAGCATAAAAAACAGAATTGATCTTGAGAATATGGAGTTCAAACTGAGCCTTAAAATGTTTGTGAAGAAGAGTGTTTCTAGGTGTATGTATTAAGAATTTGTAGAATAGTTCTTGGAGGTGTTAATTAGGTGATAAAGTTGTCAAAGTGGAAGGGACCAAATTATGAAGAACTTTGCATGTTGGGCAAAAATAGATCTTGGCAATCTGAAGTGTGGTGGGAAGCCAATAAGGACTGCAGGGAAGCTTTTTCGAATTGCAGGATCTCAGGTGTACTGCAAATGAGATTCTGCATGTAAACAACACTCCTTTGTGATTCATATGTTCACCAAAATTTAAAAATTAATTGCCCAAATGAGAAGTTATTTATTCTGCTTTCCTGAGTCAAATGTTTGTAACTAGGAGCACACTTCTCAATAGAAACTGTGTGAGAAGTGGTAGGATTTTTATATAGCTCCTAAAGTTTTAAGTAGTCTGTGAGATTTATGCTGACATTCCAGGTGGGCATAGAAATGCACTCTCTATCTTATTTAGGGAAGGAAAAGGAATTAGATTCACCAACCTACTTCGATGCCAGGCTGCACAGGGTATACTCAAGCTAGTCAGTGGGGATATCTTGATTTTATAATTTCCTGAGAGTGATGTTGGAGAACAGCAGCTGTGTTGAAGGAAAGGTCTAGGATGTTCTTAGAAAATTCTCACTTATAACACGATGATTGACTTGATTCAGGAAGAGAATACTACTTTTCTAAATGACATAATTTCTTAGATATATTGATTGCTAAGTAAAAACACAGTGGAGTAGTGGGGCTACTATGCTAACCTGGAAAACTTAGAACATTGGTTCTAAGTTAGATGTACATTAGATGTACACTAATTAATATACACTTGTACATTAGATGTACAAGTACATCTGTATGATAAATTCCTAGAAATGAAACTATTTGGATAGAAGCTATATGTATATTTTAGTGTTAATACATTTTGCATAATTGCTTTCCATAAATAATCATCTTATACTACCACAAATGATGTATAGGTATAATAAGTTAGATATTTAACATTTGAGTCTGGGGAGATGGATCAGTGGATAAGAGTACTTGCTGTGCATGCATGAGGGCTAGAGTTTGAATCCCTAGTGCAATGCCAGAAACCAGGCATGAATGCACATGCCGGAACCCTGCCATAGGAGAATGGAGACAAGTGATCTCAGTGGTTCTCTGACCAGACCAATCTAGCTGAAATGTTGGCTTCCAGTTCAGCGAGAGACCCCTGTCTCAAGATAATAAGGTGGAGAGTGATCTCAATATCTTGCTCTGGTCTCTGCATTTATACACTTATGTATATAACACACACACACACACACACACACACACACACACACATATCCAACTTATTGGCTTTTGTCAAGGTGGTGGTTAAAAGTGGGTCCTCAGTATTATTTTAATTCATGTCACATTTCACTAAAGCAGTGGTTTTCAACCTTCCTAATGCTGCAACCATTTAATCCTCTTCCACATGTTGTGGTGATCCCCAAGCACAAAATTGTTTTGTTACTGCTTCATAACCATAATTTTGCTACTGTTATGAATCATAATGTAAATGTCTGATATGCAGGTTGAGAACCACTGCTCTAAAAGGTATTGTTGAATGTTTCTGTAAATATTCATATTCTTTTTCTAATTTTTCTGTTAGAATATTTCTTTTGCCTTTTTACTTATAGAAATTGTAAATGTTTTAGAGAAAGTATCCCCTTATGGATGGCTAGCAAACTGTGTTACGATACCATGGCAATAGCTAACATGTGACTAACGGCCACCATATTTGACAGAGGTTTGGAGGTAGACTCTCATGCATCTTTAAAAAGCATACTCACTATCATCGTTTTATTTGGAAAACATAGATAAATTTCTTTTCTTTTCCTTTTTTAATTTTTGGGATTGTATTTAAATCACGATCCTTACCTTTCCTCCCTCCAAAATCTCCCTATTTCCTGCCCAGCTCTCCTTCAAATTCATAGTCTCTTTTTTCATCAATTGCTATTATATATGTATATATATATGTATATATATGTATATTCCTAACTATAACCTGTTGAGTCCATATAATGTTACTTGTATATATTTCTTCAGGGCTGACAGTTTGGCACTGGACAACTATTGTTGGCACTTCTCTAGGGAATACCACCTCTCCTGCTCCCAGCTTTACTCAGTTGCCTATAGTCCTGTGTAGGGTTGAGACCGCATGGGCTTTTCCCTGTCCAATTTGACATGTTTGTTGGTGTCATCCTTGTTCAGCTCACACTTGGGTGGTCATGTTGGTGAGACTTTATGGGTGTGACTTCTGATGTTACTAGGAGACACAATCTCAGCAAACTGCTGATCCTCTGGCTCTTACAGTCTTTCTGTCCCTCTGCAATGTGTGGGAGTGTTTTGAAGATGTATCCATTGGGACTGGGCTCCACAACTCTGCATATTGATTGGTTGTGGTTTTCTGTAGTATCTCCATCTGCTGTAAAGAGAAGTTTCCCTGATGAGGGGTAAGGACTACACATATCTGTAGCTATAGGGAGAAATATTTACAGATTGTTGTGAGGGTTTATGTTGGTTTAGTAAATTAGTAGTAGATTAGTAGAATGAACAGATTCTCCTCCAATAAACATGATTTCACTAGCATAGATTAGTTATCTAGGTTTCCAGTATCAGGGATGTAGGGATGGTATCTCTCTTGTTGACCAGGTTTTTTGTTTTGTTTTTAAAGGTGTGTGTGTGTGTGTGTGTGTGTGTGTGTGTGTGTGTGTGTGTGTGTGTGTGAGAGAGAGAGAGAGAGAGAGAGAGAGAGAGAGAGAGAG